ATATATATATGTACTTATTTTCTATTCATTTATTTATTTACATATTATAAATAGCAAAAATATTTGTATTTCAACTGTTTTTTTTTAAACTAACAAATGAGGAATACCCTTACGTTACCTTTAAAATGAGTGTTGAAGAAATAGCATATTAAGTGAGGTCAGTGTGAAACTGTATAAACCAGAATGCTCGCATCTCCTACTAGCAGCAAGCCAAGACTGAGAAACCTAAACCATTTTAATGGTCTTTTTCCTAAAACGAGAGAGGAGAGGAGGGATAAAACGGTATAGTAGTCTCACCAGAACGCAATAGCTGCCGCAGACAATTCAAAGACTAAAATAAGTTGATTAATTGGTAGAAAACTTCAAAGTTTGTGAGAAGCTATTTTAAAGCTTGTCTCTAAATATATGCCTCTTAGGCTGATACAGGATCTTTACAAATGAAGTTCTCCTATAAAGGATACATATAGCAGATGAACTGAAAAATAAAGAATCATTTATCCTGTTTTTTTTTGAAAAAATTATGAATAAATGTGGAAAATCATAACTGGCAGAAGAAATATTGGTTGTTTCAGCGTGATAGTAGTCCTATGAATCATTTTTAAATAAATCAAAACTTCAAAGGAAATGGTAAAAAACGTGAAACTTTTTTACAGCTTTTTAAATTCTTGCAGATTCATTGGTAAATAAATAAGTATCATAACTGCTCGGGATTCGTGTTAAATATAAGTATAAGATAAACGCGATTTTAACGTTACAGTAGAAACTACTTGTAGAAATCATTTTGTATGTGCTTCTTGTTCTTCTGCATTTTACAAATAATAGCTATGATTTTTCAACCAAGACACCAAGGTTGAATTTTCTCCTGCGTTTTTCAATAACCAATCGTTTCTTGACAGAATAGTCTCCACTGATCTTTCCAGAACTTCTCTAGCATTTTTCGGTAAACGTGAAGAAATGGTAGAATTCAAAAATGAGCCAATCTGAAAGATGCTTAACATAATAAATAAGAAACACTAATGCGTCTTGCATACAAACCCTAAGAAATAATCTAGTTTTCTAACATCAATAGTGTTTTACTGTTCAATAATTACCCGCTTTACATACGCGTCATTGTTCCAGGTCTTTGTCAACGAACTGACGTAAAACGAGAACTGGACTGCTCCGTAAAGCACTTCTTCTATATTTTTCTGAAGATAATCCCACAACTGCTCAGCACCCTCGACTGTTTGACCAATAAATGTCAAAACTTTTGTCGACATTGTTCCGTGAACCGCATCACTTATAAACCTGTAAAATTATACTTTGCTTAAAAAAAACAAAGTTTGCTGGCTTAACACACAGAAAGAAAATGCTCTAAATTTGTACAACTGAGTAGAAAACTAAAAGCTTCAGTGCTCGGTAAAAAATATTGAAAGAACAAAAACATCAGACATCAATAAAGACCTCTTAAAACTGTCTGGTTTTCCACAGCCAATTCCATAAAGCAAATTTTCCTGATCGCGTTTAAAATACTTTGACTCTTTTTCAAACCACTGATATACTTTAAGAACCATTTCTAAACTTGATGGACTACTAGAAAGGCCGTAACAATACTGCGTTCCTCGATAGTCTGAATGTACTCTAAAAAGTGTTGTTGAAAGATTTTTCATAAACACTTTTTTTAATAGTCGTATGAAAAAAACGAACACTATAGTGAGATTCAGTAAAAGAAAAGCTTACAGATTACATCTTCCAGTCCCTACCAGTGAATGAGCGCAGCGTTCAGTAAAGTTTTGGAATCTTTGTGAAGCATCCAAAAGACACTTTTCATATCCAGCTTTGCAAGCCAGCTCTGTTATCGACGAGGATAGCGTACTTAAACAAAGTTTTTTAATGATAGAATTTTCTAGCAGTTGTACGAACGTTGAAAAATCAAGTACAGTCTCTAACTTTTGAATCCAGTCATCAGTATTTCTCCAAGCTATTTTGTCGTACGCATCAGCCACAACATCTCGAGCATAGCTCTGCAAAGAAGCGAGAATTAGCATACTAGCCTACGTCAAACTGAACAGTGTATGAAACGCCGTTTCAGAAACATTAGCTATAATAAGGCCGACTGTCCCAAGTAGAAATTAGGTGCTTACTTAAATTTAGAAGAAAGCAAGTTTTAGGAGCAAGTTTTAAGTTTTAATATGTAAAATATTCCATATTTTTAGAAGATACTAAAACGGAATATAAAGTTCATAAAAATATAAAAACATTTGTATCCTAAACCTTTGTTTTTAAAGCTTGCAAATAAAGAATACCTTTACAGCATCGTAATATTTAGTGTTGTAGAAACGATTCATCAAGTTTTCCAAGGTTGATGTAAAACTATATAATGGCAAAAAACTTGTGTCCTTCACTAACAACAAGCCAAGATCAAGTAACCTAGGCCACTCCAGTGATCCTCTTCTGAACAAAAAAGATGTAATTAAGAAAACGATAAAGTAGCAGCACAGACCAAGAAACTGATGTAGTGCAGTAATGTGGTAATGACTTTTTTGTATCAAATCATTTTATAGAACTGTTTAAACAGTGCATAAACAACCAAAGAGACGCAACTTCTCAAAAGCTCAGAAATCATTTATGTGGTACCCGTATTAACCAACTAAGAGATTAAAACTAAAGAAGAAATTCTCACTCGCGTAGCGCTGCTGTATCAGCAATTAACTGTGCTCGAGTTACTTCGTCAAAAACAGTTTTATCCTTAACCAGTTGTTGATAGATAGGACTCCACGTCTGGTCATCATACCACACTCGGAAAGGTGCCTAGAATTAAAATAAATTAATTGTTGTCCGTAAAGCCTATTCTTAAATTATGTAATATAACCCTTCTTGCAACGTTATAAATTCTCCATTTTTCATCAAATGTTTGGTTCAGAAAAGAATCTTGCAGTTCACTTCCATAATACCAAAAATTGGCGCCTGAAAATACTATTTTATAAAACTTTATTTCTGTTAGCACTAGAATCTATCAGGATTGTTTCGTTTAGAGCACTAGAAAAAATTAATTGTTTGCTAAAAATTTCATAGTGTAATTAGAACAATTACCGGTTGAGTCAGCTGTATACACCGGTAAAACCCATAATGGTTGATAAAATAGCACAGTTTCTTCATCGTAGGCCTCCATACTATAAGTCATATTCTCTCCATCGGTTGAAACTTTAAATATTGGATAGCTCCTCTAGAACAGTTTAGAGTGTTAAGAGTTATTATTTATGCCAACCTATGGCAACGATAAAAAAGAAAAAAAAATCGTAACAATTAAAAACTCAAAACTTGTCAGCTTTTCATATATCAAAAAAATATATCACAAAATTTTACATTTGTGCAGGACAATTTCAAACATCTGCAACATCCGTCTCAAAAAAAAACATAGGAAAAGCTCAAAATGTTGTTAAATTCTTTTCATATTTTTAACTTCTTCGAGCGTATTAGTAAATAACAGATTGTACTCATTTCTTCCGTTTGGAAAAAAATAAAAAAGAATTCAAATTTAATTTAGCAACAATATTTCTGGTAAATTCTTAAATGTGGTAAACAAATACATAGTTTTTTACAAAAAAAGCACTAAGTTTAACAACATTTGAACAGCAAAAAAAAAAAAACCAGGTGTACCTGCCACATATATGGTTCCATAAAATTTGTTAAACTCATATGTGCACTTTCTTCAAACGTAGATGTCCTATTACTGACAACCTACAAGACGATTGGTCAAGAAAAAAGTATATGTTAAAAAAAATATTTATATATTTGTTAAAAAGTATATAGAAAAAAAGTAAAGCGTAAAAATTACGTTTTTCTACAGAGAATCATACAGTAAAGTTGTGATTATATAGAGAAAAATATTTGTCCAGCATAATAGCAGTACCTTTTCCAATGCTTTCCAAAGTAATACATCGTTGACAACATCGTATGAATAATCACTAAGCAGTGCTTGTAAAGCTTCGATTACGATATCTTCTCCAACAATATTTTCCAACATTGCAAATGCCGCAGCACCCTAAATTTTTTATTCTTTTCAGATTCGGAAACCTTAGGTTGACCAAATCAAATTTTTTTGTCTTAAACTTCACATTTCTGTACTCTAAACAACGAAGGCATATAGTCATCTGCTGTATAAATAAATTCCAAATATGGTCTAAATTAAAGAAAGAAGTAAGCATACCATTATTATATTTTACTATTTTTATATAAATTTTATTTAAGTTTTTATTTCAACGCTTTTTTAATCTAAGCATTTTTTTGTTTTTTTGTTGTCAACGTACAAGTGTTCACTTTACAAAACTAGCATAAAACAATAGCTTACTTCTTATCACTATAAATTTTTTGTTTATGCTAAAAAATAGCAATTTTTTTGATTAAAAATGACCAATAATTTTTGCAAATCTTCAACTTTTATCTTGTCTTATAAAAAACCTTTTTCTTCTTTGAAAATATATCCTCAAATTTTTAATATTTATTTTCTAGGCGTTTTTAAATTAACATTTCTTCAGCCACCTGTAATTCTTCTGTTAAGCTTTTTTTACTTATTATTCCGGCTGGTCTTTACCGTACTTAAGTTCAGTTATCTATGTTTAAAAGAAAGTTTTTTTCAGCAAAATCTAAAAGTATCATGACACTTTGAGAAGTTAATAAAAGGTTTAAAATTTTCATAGATATTTATCAAAAAATAAAAAACCATTATCTTTTATTAAGGTTTGGTCAAAAAACGCTCTTCTGCTGAATTAATTTCCATTTCAACTGAAGTTGCAGCACAGATAAGCCCAATTTTTAAAAAATTACTATCAACTATTTGTAGAACAGTTTTAATTCACTCACTTTACAGTTTGCTTCGTTGCTTAGAGCTGAATTATCACCAGGAAGAACTGCAAAACGCCCGTTTGAATTAAAAGTAAATGATGTTTCAAACATGATGAACTCCAAGAAAGACTGCAAAAAGAATGTTAATAGGCTAACTCTAAAATACCAGTTATTTGTTATCGTAAACAGTGAAAAACATAAAAGTTATTATCAATTAAACGTAATTATAGTGACACAGTATACTTTCAAATTAGCCTGTTGCGGCTCCAGCTTTGCTACTAATTTCGTTGCAATGAACATAGAAAGTCCATCGGTAAGACCTGCATATGATAGAGTCTCAGGAGTTACCAAATTTCCAAACCACTAAATATTTTTTACTATAATTTATAATCGTTCTTTCCACTGCAAAACTAGTAACTTATTTTTTACTAAAAGTTGTTACGTGTAGCACAAAACAAAGAATTGCAACCTGATTGGCGGTTGCTTGAGCAATTATTTGACTGATAAGCATGTGATCAGCAGTTGTAGCGTAATAGGGGTCTTCGAGAATCTTATTATAGTCTCCGCTGATTACTCCAAATCCATTGAAAGTTACGTTCGTATACAAGCACTGTGGCAACGCGACGAGGTCTGGAAAAAGAGCAATGTGAAGATTTTTGTGTTATTATTATACCACAGATTTCGAAAGCGTGGGAAAGCACACTCATCGCTATACTTCAACAGCAAATTTCATAAATTTCTTTATAGGTTTTATTGAAAACACACACCAATCTTAGAAATTGGAGGTCGAGTTTGAAGAAGTTTGCTTACAGCATCTACAGCACTAGTCAAAACCTGAAATGTTAAGAAGCTTAAGAAAAAATTTAAAAAAATTATCGTTCCGAAAGTCTTACAATTTCGGAAACACGAAGGTGTACAAAATTGTTTTGTGGTTTGCTTGTAAGAGTTTGTTACAGCTTCCAAGTAATCAGTGGCACTAGTACAAAAGTAGATCAATTATCACATAAACTACATAATGTTTTAAAGTTTCTAGACTGTTTTTTTGTCAAATGTTTACCTTAAGAGCACGATTAGCATAAATTTCCATCCCACTCCAAGCCCAAACTCGTGAAAGAACTTTTGCTTCCGGAGAGACACTTTCCTGCGCATCAAAGTGGCCAAGAAACAAAGAGAGAGCATAGCTTGACATTCTCTGTGTGTATGCAAAAGTAGTTGTTGCCCATCCTGAAAATAATTGGTCAATATAATTAACTTAAAAGAAAATTCTATATTACTACCTAAAAGCCAATTGTTTATTTAGAAAATATATCGAGTTTTTTTTCCACACCATTGTTTCCTAGAATTGTCCCGTTACTTATCGCGTTACTCAGCGGCACCATATCAGAAGGATGCTCCAAAGTGATTTGCCAAGGTGCTTTAAAATAAGGTTCATCGAAGCATGGGACTAGAGACCTGATTCCACGAGCATTCAAGAAGTCTGTCGCAAAAATCCACCTAAAAATTTTATAAAACTCCACCACAAATGACAGTTAGAAAGAATTTGCAAATTGTAAATTGAATAGAGGATGCTTGATCTAAACATGGGATTTAAAAGAATAGATGATAAGCGGAGATACTTAAAAACTGAAACTCTCTAAGAGATACTTAAAAAAGAGACGTTAACTATGGAAAAGACAATTTACGTTTTTTGGTTATTAAATTCAAAGTAACTGGAATGAGTGCTGACACCCTTAGTTGGTCGATCGTTTATAAAACCTTTATACTTCATATTCAAAGTACAGTTTGTATTATCTGGTAACATAAGCCTCTCGGGTAAGTTCAGTTGCAAAATGCCTAAAAACCAAAATAAACGAACAAAACCATAATACACCATAATATAAACGGTATTATTTTTGTTCTTTTTCTATGCGTCTTGAAGTTACGACACGTGTTAAACTCTGATTTTTCAGCTATTGCAATAGTCAGTTTAGATTTTGATAGGAATTATTTACCAAAATCATAATCTTTTTCATGCTTTGCAATTGCTACATTGCCTAGAGCATCGCACGACAATTTAACCTGTTCTGGATTGATAATTAACTTGTTGGCAGCGATAACAACTTGTGAAATTGGTGCAATCACTGTGAACCTTATCTAAAGTTTAAAAATAGTGTTTTTCAAAAAGATATATAGCAAAATTAATTTCTTAAAAAACACTAAAACTATTTGTTTATAATAAGAAAATAACTGTCATTTTTTTAGTGTTAACAGTAAAGGCTGAAAATAGTTAAAACTCCGCCGAAAAATTATAGTTACAAGAAACTTTTAAGCTTCTGAAGCATCTTCCAAGTTTTACAGAATAAACAGCCAGTTGGATCAAACAATTTAAAATACTATTTAACTCAAACCTGTGGTCATTCGCAGCGCTTAAAAAAATCTTACATAGACCAATCAGTGTCATTAAAAGCCAATAAAAATAATTTAAAAAACCATACATTTGAAATTATGCTGCTACATTATTGTGAATGCTTGTACTTAGCATCACTTTAAAACCAAGATTAGCTTTTTGAAAGTAATTACCGTCACTGTTCCTTCAAAAGTCATATTTTTATACCAAGGATACTTAGCCGGTCCAGAAAAATATGGTTTTAAATGCAGTGTGTATGACAGTGGTTTACAGTCTTTAGGCACCAACATTGTTGTATCCAGTTTGTCTGCCACATAGTTGTCGTAAAGAAAGCGTGCTAAACGAAAAAAGTTTTCAAAACATACTACATTTTTTTGCAAGTCTGACTCACCATTTACTTTCAATATTTTTGATTCATAAGTGTAACTGTAATAGATATACAAGTCTTTTACATTTATAAAGTTGACAAAATTTTTTTTAGCTCTAATCAAAGTTTCAGTACTCCACATAACCAAAAATTAAAGTAATGTGCAAAGAAATACACGGTGCCAGTTAGGCAAAACCGTGACGTGGACAAAGTAAAAAAATACTTTCTAATATTATTCTTAATTGAGGCAATTTTGAAAAAAGTTACAGAAAAAGGCGTCGAGATCAGACAAACAACTCAAAATTTCAGTCTATAAATTGTAAATGTCCAATAATTCTAGAAAACAAAAATCCGGCTTAACGCTGTGGTAGTACTAACGCTAATGCTTCATTTGTTAAAAATTCATTAACATAGCTAAATAGTAACGTTACAGCCTATTTTCTGAATACAGAAGAACCTTACTTATTTCAGGAAGATGGTTTTCCGCAAACGATATCTGTGAATTTATGGTTTTTATTTGACGTTCAAGAACACGAGCTGCCTCAGACGAGTTCAACACTGTTTGCAAAGTTGAATTTAAATTAATAAGCTGCAAAAAAATTATTTTTTAATCTCTTATAGAGTTGATTCTTTTAGAGTTTTGTAACTGAAATGACAGTTAAACTAGGGTAACAGAAAATACGATATACAACTTATGAAAAAGTATAACTGCAAAAAAAAACTGTTGAATTTACTACACCCTAAATCATCTAGAAATTGCGGAGAAAAAAGTGAGTAAAGCTTAAACCTGCTGAAGACGTTTGTTACTATACCAAGTCGATGTCAATGCGTCTAGATACTCGTCAATTGGCACTGAATTTACCACATCAGAAGTGTTGCTTATAAGATAATCGTACATTGCCTGAGTGCCTAATGGATTTCGTGTGATATACGAATAACTTGGAACATATGCAAAATTCTTACGAGCAGATAGTAATTCCTTGATTAATCTAGATAAACAACGCACATTTAATAAATTTAATAACTGCAAAAATTGAAATTTTAAATTGCAATTTTTTAAACTGACATTTGAAGAACAGAATTATCTGTTGTACATCCTACGCCCTCCAACATTGCATAATATTCTTGGTAAAAGTATAATCCATATGTTATCTGTTGGTGGTATAGTTCTAGCAAAAACCCAGAAGAGTTGCTTCTATCGTAAATTGTGGCAGCACAAAACATTCCACGATGAATATCTGGATCTATTCTAAATTTATTTTTTTTGTGCAAAATATGCATCTGCTATAGGTAACATTCTCAAAATATATTACCCTTGAGAGCAATTTTCAATCCCAGTAGTGGTATCAAAGCATAGTTCTTTGAATTTGTCAAACATATTTGATAAATGGTAAGTGGCACTGAGAATGTCGTGCTTTGCCGATTCGAAAAGAATGTAGTACCGTGCAATGCTAAATTTTCAAAATCTTAATATTTTTTAAATAATAAAAGTTTCATTTACTTACTTAGTTTTAAAAAATTTCGTATCTTTATTAAAGCGAAGAAAACGAATTGTGATATCAGTGCTTACTCATTGTCCCAGTCGCCTGTAGAATCCAGCATTAAAGACATAAAGTTCTCACTGTATATATGGTTTAAAAATCGCTGAAAACAAAAAATTAAACTGTGTGACTTCCTTTTCAAACATACAGAATGCTCTATATAAAACTATGCCTGAAAAAGCTTTTGATCGATGTCCTCCATATAAAACTTTTCTAGTTCTGTAAGAACTGGATCAGAAAGTTCAAAAACAGAGAAGTGCGGATAGTTTGGTAAAATGGCAACGAGAAACTGCAGAAGCCTTTTATATGAAAATGCTTGTCCCGTAGACTTGCGTTTACTAGAAACATTTATGACCAGTTATCAAAACCAAAAACTTATCTAATTTTTTTAAAAATCTTAAGAAGAACTTTAAGCAAATTTTTAGAACAGGAAAGCCACATAAAAGAGTAAATTTTTATAGCAAGCTTTAATTAAATATATTATTCAAAAGACTGATAAAACCTGGTATTTGCTACAGCCATTTTCCAAAAATCTTACGTTATGAGAGCAATCTGATCGCCAATAAGCACAATTTTATCGGCCATGCTAAAACCATTAGTTCCCTCAGCTTGCAAGTGGCTCAACAACCGATCATAACCGATATCATCGTAATCTACTCTCACAAAAGAACTGGATTCAACATTGGTCATTGTCCATGGCACGTCAGAAGAAGAAAAGACTCTTTTGCCATCGCACTGGTAAGAATCTACAGTATATGGTCATCAAGTTCTGTTCAGAGTAAAGCATGATAACTCATTAAGTTTGGTTAGCAAGTTATTTTGGTGTTCAGATAAACAGCATTAGCTTGATTTTATGTTACGTTTAGAATACAATGGAAATTCTTCAAGACGTGTAACAAAACAAGCGAAGCAAAGATCTGTTAATTTCTAACCAGGAACCAACCACTGAAATGTATTTCTTTGGCTATAACTCTTCAAAAATAGCGGTATTGGCCAAGAATAATTATACGGTGATTGAGGTAGTGCTGAATAATTGCTGTATGGTTGTTGTGTAAATTTAGGTGAACTAAAGATGCCGTCGTTTGTTACAGAAATCAGTGGAAAATTCTGAAAAAGTAGTTTTTGAAAATACGTAGAGCTTTAAAAATTTCTATTAATAAATGCTGTAAAACGCTTTCATTCTTTTTACTTCTACATATGTTAAAAAACGGCGAAAAATGTGCTATTATTCTTGAGGTATAAGTAGCGACTTTTTAATAAAGTGTTACTTATCATTTGGAGGTTAACAGGATTACATACGTTCAAAAGCAATTTCTTTTGGTTTTCGTTTCCTTTTGCTCCTTAAAAAAACTTTAAAATTGTAAAATGTTTTCATTTTATATGCGAATTACCTTTTGCAGTATCCATGGATTAAGAAACTCTGAAACGTTGATTGGTTTACCACACCAGTCCGTCACACCGTGCTTTCTTGCTGCCTATTAATATGAAAAATTAAACTGTGAACAAAAATTACCTATAACAAATATATATAGATACTTGAAAGTAAAAGTAAACATGTAAACAAAATTGTGAAGATTTTTGGAAAACAAAATTTGAAGCATGCACAAACATTAGTAAGTTTTTCAAAAAGCATTTCATGTTTTGTGTTTTGAAATTGGTATGCGGACAGGTACTCGCGAAGTCCTTCTTGGAACACCTCTTTCCCAAGTACCAACTGAGTCATTCGCAATACGGACGGAGCTTTGTTGTAAGTTATAGCTACAATTGCAATAAGCATTTAGAAAAATGTAGCGTGCTCAATATGCAATATCTAAGTAATAAGAAAAAATCTTGAAAATTTTATTGCTGTTTAAAGCACGACTTTATAATCTAATTCTTGCAAAAGAAAATGAAAGTTAACTGAGTGAAAGATATTATTTCGAATAAACTAAGCGGACACCGTCAAATATCACGTCGTTGAAGTAGATGGGATGAGAAGACGCAGAAGCATCTGCAGTTAATCCTTTCTGTTCAGTTTCCACCAAGAACTTGCCCTCCTTGAAAATGAAAGACAATATATTTTTTGATTTATTGAGGCTAAGTTCGTTGTTTCACAAAATTTAACTCTTCAAGCCTTTAAAAGCAAATTTTCTTTAAAAGGTTTTAGAGCAACAGTAATTAGCAACGCTGTAAGCAAAATTTACAACAGTTTACCAAAAATGCATTTTGTTCAGGAATAGCGAGCTTTAGGCTTTCGATCTCAAAGAACGCGGCAAACCCTTCGTTCAAAAACAGGTCCGACCACCAGAATGCGGTAACCAAATCTCCAAACCATTGATGTGCCAACTCGTGGCACATCACCTTTGCTGCTGCCTGCTTTACGTAAGTCGTATGCAGCTAAAAAAATATCTCTACATTTTTTCAGTAATAGTTTTTAAGAACTTGGTGAATTGATCACTGTGCATTATATGAGGCTCCTGTCGGGGATTAATCGTTTATAGTAG